GGAGGAGGAGGAGGAGGGGGAGGAGGGGGGGGAGGAGGGGAAAGAGGGGGAGGAGGGGGGAGGAGGAGGAGAGGAGGAGGAGGAGAAGGAGGAGGAGGAGGAAGAGGAGGAGGAGACAGAGGAGGAGGAGGAGGAGGAGGAGGAGAGGAGGAGGAGGAGGAGGAGGAGAAGGAGAGGAGGAGGAGGAGGAGGAGGGGGCTGCTGCGGCCCAAAAAATCAACGAATCGGCACCTAATATGTAATCAATTCCGATTTTTTTGTCGGAGGGCAATTTTCTAGATTTTGGAGCGCATTTGGAAAGAAGGCCAACGCTGCAGCGGGAGCACGATTCGGAACGAGCGGAAGCCTGAAACTGAGGCCAGCGCTTCAGCGGGACCAGCATTTTTGAGAGAACAAAAAATCGGGAGCGCCCAAGAAAGGGGTGTCCAAGAGGGGGGGGTGCAAATCATGACTGGCGGCATGTGCGTGGCCCAGCAGGGGGGCCAGGGACGTAATGAAATAAGAAGAGGCGCCATAAAATCTGAGGACATATCATGCCCCCCGCCATGATATCCACCCCCCTCCTAGTCATCACCCCCCTCTTTGCCGCCCCCGAAAAAACAAGCGAAAACCCAAATCCCGGGAATCCCGTGTAAAAAGCGATACGCGGAGGGGGGCCGGAGATCTTCCGGACGCTTAGCTGCCCCGATACGCAACACGCACCACGTAGCGTATTGATACGGAGTTCCACACGTAGGCTGAACACGCAGGTCCCACGCGATACACTCGCCAAAACGAGGTCCAATACGTTCCGCAACACGCAGCGTATTGACACGGACGTTTTGAGGACGGCTCGTGTTGCGTATCGAAACGTGCGTATCGGGGCAGCTGAGTCTGGACGTCGTCAGGGGAGAGACGAGCGCAATACTCATACTGTGTCGGAGAGGGGGCGTGCCCTCCCAGAGCGCTCCGAAGGCCAACCTTCTGAGAAGCTTCCCGGGCCTCCTGCGAAGCCCCGGCGCCTTCTGCCTCCCTGCCAAACCAACCCAGCCTGACCCGAAGGACAAACTTCGAGTTCGGGAGGGGGGGAGGGGCACGGGCTCCTCGCGCGTTTCTCCAAAGCTCCAACGACGCCCCCCCCCCACTGGGCAGTGGGCGGCAAATTGGAGCCTTCAGGTCGGGCTGGGGTGGTTTTACCAGCCTGGAACATACCCCTACCCCTATGCTGGGCACCTCCTCATCACGATGCCAATCTTAGGGATTCCCTGATTTTTTGAGGGCGAACCCCTAAGACTGTCATCGCCTCTTGGCGTGTCAACCTTAGGGATAAAGATACGCTCGAGGCTGGCAATGGCTTGGTGGGCGGTGACCTTCCGAGCAGGCCCGACCCCCTCTCGCCTCCCCCCTCGGCGCGCGCCGCCGCGCGCCCACGATCTCTTGTGTTTTTTCTCGCAGCGCTCCGGTTGGTCCGCGGGCCGACGATGAGATCAGTTTCGACCCGCGGCCCCCAGAACTAGGAAAGCCTGGAGGCCTCGCGCGGCAACTTGAGACCCGATTTACGTCGGATCCACGTCAAAAGTACGTCGGGCTCACGCCGGACTACGTCGGATTTATGCCGGATTTACGTCGGACTGTCTCTGGAGCATCGCCGCACGAGCGTCGACCCATCACTGACGGAACCGACAAGTGGACGAGATCCTACTGCTATTGCGCGCCGCGCGAGGCCTCCAGGAGTTCCCTCATGACCAAAAGTCTCGACCACCTCCCGGATCCCTGCTCGATGGACAGGCCCTGGAAAACCGAAGCAGATGCACACCGCTGGGACGGACGGAAAGCACCGGGGGAGGTCCGGGTCGGGCGAAAGGGGGGGATAGCAAAAGGGGGGTTTGAGAATCAGCTCACGTAGCTGATTTGCCCGGCGCCTCCCGGCGCCGGAGGCGGCTATATGTATCGAGGAATGGGCCCCTCGGTTGGGCCGAAACCAGCTGCATGCAGCAAATTTCGTACCCCCCCCCCCCTTCCCAATTCCCCCCCCGTTCGTCCAGCCCGAGAGGTCTGGGAGGCGCAGGGCCGCCCCCCTGCCAGCGCTGGCAGGCGGGAGGGCTCGCCGCTCCGGCGCCCGCGCGAGCGCGCCCGCCCGCGGGCGCGCCCTCCAGGCCCCGGCCGCGGCGCCGCGTGGCCCGCGCCGCGGTCCCTCGGCCATGCCCCGCTCCAGCGCGGCAGGGTGCATACTACCAGCCTGGAACATATCCCTGTCCCTATGCTGGGCACCTCCCCATCACGATGCCAATCTCAGGGATTTCCCTAGTTCTTGAGGGCGAGTCCCTCAGAGTGTCATCGCCTCTTGGCGTGTCAATCTTAGGGATACGGACACGTTCGAGGCTGGTAAGCATAGTCCTCCGGCTCCAAGGTCCAAGGGCCGAGAAACTACGCCCCGCACCATGCCTGGGTCGATGCTCGACGACGCCTCGGGAGACGACAGCGCGGTGCGGTGCACATCAGACACAGGCCCTCCGCGGACCTTGCCGCTGAGAGCCGGCATCCGGGCTCCCAGCGGAGCGCCTCCAGGTGCAACCCCAGATATCCGACGACATGGTTCGTTCAATCCTTGCGGTTACTCCTGGGTCTCGGCCCCTCGAGCCGGTGATCGGGGCCCCGGGGCCAACGAAAACGGATCTGGGCCGAAGAACTGGCCTCGGGGAAGGGGTCGGGACTTCATGTTCAGCCGGGCCTGTCCCCCTACAGGGGGATTTTGGACGGAAATTGAAACAACCAAAAAATGGCTCTAAAATGCTGAAAAATGATCCCGGCAAAGCAACCTAACAGCGATGTGTAGGAGCATATCTGTAGGCATTCCCCTTAAGATTCAGATGAGAATCCTGTTGTAGAATTCTGCTGTTCTCGCAGTCGTAGTCGCAGTCGCGATGGCAGTCGCAGTGGCAATGGCAGTCGCAGTCACAGTCTCAGCCTCAGCCTGCCTCAGCCTCAGCCTCAGCCTGCCTCAGCCTCAGCCTGCCTCAGCCTCAGCCTGCCTCAGCCTCAGCCTCAGCCTGCTCCAGCCTCAACATCAGTCTGCCTTCAGCCTCAGCCTCAGCCTGCCTCAGCCTCAGCCTGCATCAGCCTCAGCCTCAGCCTCAGCCTGCCTCAGCATCAGCCTGCCTCAGCCTCAGCCTCAGCCTCAGCCTGCCTCAGCATCAGCCTCAGCCTCAGCCTCAGCCTGCCTCATCAGCCTCAGCCTGCTCAGCCTCAGCCTCCTGCCTTCAGCCTCGGCCTCAGCTCAGCCTGCCTCAGCCTCAGCCTGCATCAGCCTCAGCCTCAGCCTCAGCCTGCCTCAGCATCAGCATGCCTCAGCCTCAGCCTCAGCCTGCCTCAGCCTCAGCCTCAGCCTGCTTCAGCCTCAGCCTCAGTCTGCCTTCAGCCTCGGCCTCAGCCTCAGGCTGCCTCAGCCTCAGCCTGCATCAGCCTCAGCCTCAGCCTCAGCCTGCCTCAGCATCAGCCTGCCTCAGCCTCAGCCTCAGCCTGCCTCAGCCTCAGCCTCAGCCTGCTTCAGCCTCAGCCTCAGTCTGCCTTCAGCCTCGGCCTCGGCCTCAGCCTGCATGAGCCTCTGCCTCAGCCTCAGCCTGCCTCAGCATCAGCCTGCCTCAGCCTCAGCCTCAGCCTGCCTCAGCCTCAGCCTCAGCCTGCTTCAGCCTCAGCCTCAGTCTGCCTTCAGCCTCGGCCTCAGCCTCAGCCTGCCTCAGCCTCCGCCTGCCTCAGCCTCAGCCTCAGCCTGCTTCAGCCTCAGCCTCAGTCTGCCTTCAGCCTCGGCCTCAGCCTCAGCCTGCCTCAGCCTCAGCCTGCCTCAGCCTCAGCCTCAGCCTCAGCCTGCCTCAGCCTCAGCCTCAGCCTGCTTCAGCCTCAGCCTCAGTCTGCCTTCAGCCTCCGCCTCAGCCTCAGCCTGCCGCAGCCTCAGCCTGCATCAGCCTCAGCCTTAGCCTCAGCCTGCCTCAGCCTCAGCCCTCAGCATCAGCCTGCTCAGCCTCAGCCTGCCTCAGCCTCAGCCTCAGCCTGCTTCAGCCTCAGCCTCAGTCTGCCTTCAGCCTCGGCCTCAGCCTCAGCCTGCCTCATCCTCAGCCTGCCTCAGCCTCAGCATCAGCCTGCCTCAGCATTCAAAATGTGGCCCGGGAATGGAGTTCTGGGAACTCGAAGAACACGAAGTGGCCTACAGTTGGCTCCGGGCATTCAAAATCATGCCCAGGAATGGAGTTCTGGGAACTCGAAGACCACGAAGTGGCCTACAGTTGGCTCCGGGCATTCAAAATGTGGCCCGGGAATGGAGTTCTGGGAACTCGAAGACCACGAAGTGGCCTACAGTTGGCTCCGGGCATTCAGAAGGTGGCCCGGGAATGGAGTTCTGGGACCTCGAAGACCACGAAGTGTGTCACTGTTGGCTAAACAAAAACACTGGCACTCCCCTGGATCGCGCCCAGACCCCCCTGGGGCGTCATGATGCTCTCTTTTGACCCTACTAGAAACCTATCAGTCTTCGCTGTTAGGTAAAAACGTACACGAACTATTTGTTGAACTATTTTTTAATACTCCTCCTGTAAAGGGACAGGCCCGACTTGGACTTCCTGGGACCGCGCAGTGGAAAAGTCACCTCGGCGGATGTCGGGGGCCTCGACCGTGCTGCACGAGCAGCAAGAGCCGTGCTCGAAGAGCAGCGAGCAGCATCTGGCCCAGGCGGCTGCGCTCTGGCCTCCTCGTGCTCCTCCCCCCTTCCTCTTCACCCTTTCCACCCCTTCTTTTCCTCAAGAGGTAACTACTGGGAGGTTCTCGTCGGAAAGATTGAGGAGGATTAAAACCCATTTGGGAGCTGTTACGCTGGAACGGGCCTCGGACTAAGCCGGATTTAGCGGGATTGAGCGGGATCAAGCGGGATTCAGCCGGATTAAACGGGATCCAGCCGGATTAAGCCGGATTTCGGATCAGGGCAAAATCAGAATTTGACCTCCCAGGAGTTGCATCCGAATTTCCCTCCCCCACCCCCCATTTGGTTTCATCGCGCAAAGGGTCATCGCGGGGTGGCGACTTATGGTCACTGTTGCACTTGTGGCGACCGTGACGATCGCAGATAGGCAAACTGGTAACGTACATGTCACCCGTTATGCCTGCAGTTATGTTCATGTGGCCGAAAGAGACGCTGACGTGATACAAGCATCGAAAGACATGGAGCATAACGTGCGCACGTGATGCTCTACATCACTGGTTGGATTACATCGAAAGTGAAACATGACCTGCCGATAGAGGCAGCCAGAATGAGCGGACCGAGAGGACCGAGAGAGAGAAAATACTATACTAATGTGTAGCAATGCAAATGCAGATATGTGTGTCTATACATGCGTAGAGGGTAAGAGAGAGAGAGAGAGAACAAACAAAAACGAGAAAGAGAGAGACAGAGACAGAGAGGGAGAGAGAAATATATAACGAGAGAACACAAAAGAAAACAACCACTAAAACGAACAGGAGAGACAGAGAGAGAAAGAGAGAGAGAGAGAGACAGAGAGACGGGTGTATACATATATAGATAGACAGACAGACATACGCACTGACAGGCTTAAAGACAATGAAGAAGAGACAGACAGAGAGAGAGAGAGAGAAATAAGAAACACAACACAACAAACATAAAGCAAGGGGCGGAGGCAGAGACAGAGAGAAAAAGGGGGGGAGAGACAGAGAGAGAGAGAGAGTGGGAGAGAGAAAGTGGATAACACAGACAGAAAGAGAGAGAGAGAGAGAGAGAAACAGAGGGTGAGAGAGAAACACACACACTCAGGCAGACAGACAATCTCACGCGGAAGAGGTAGATAATTGCATATACGTCATACGTTTGCCACTGTAGGCTCCGAAAAGTGGATCTTTGTACTCTCGGGATGCACGATGTGCGGCGCAGTCTGTCCATGGTGCAACCCATGTTGCAACCTGCATGATATGATCCGTGCCATGCACGACCTCTGGAACAAACAGCGTGGCACAAATGATGGGGGCGATCTGCAAAGTGCAACCGCAGGCTGTGGGGTGCAACCCGGACGGCGCAGTGCACGTGGCGTGGCGCAAAACTGCGCGCGCGTCTGGAAACGCGGGCCGGCGCATCCTTTCGAGGGCCGCGAGGCGGCTGCAGGCGAACCCTGGAGAAGAACCAAAAAAAACACCGGGTCAGCGCGCGAGACCGAAACCTAGACGGCGCAGTGCACGCGGCGTGGCGCAAGGTGCGCGCGCGCGTCCGGAAACGCGGGCCGGCGCATCCTTTCGGGGGCCGCGAAGCGGCTTCGCGCGCGCCCTGGAGAAGAGACCCCACAAAAACCGGTCAGAGCGCGAGACCGAAACCCAGACGGCGCAGTGCGCACACTGCGCGCGCGCGTCCTAAAAAGCGGCTTCACGCGTCCGAAAGAGAGAGAGGGAGGGGGAAAAGAAAAAAAGGGACAGAGAGAAATAGAGAGAGGGTGACGGAAGCAGGGGCGCGTTCGAACGGAATTGGAGGCGGGACAAGGACAGCTGGAGAGAGAGAGACAGAGAATACCAAAAAAGAGAACAGCGGGAGAGAGACAGAGAGAGACAACAGGAAAAAGATAGAGAGAGAGAGAGAGCGAGAGAAAAGAGAGAGACAGAGAACGAGAAAAACATTAAAACAACATATTTGTATAAAGAAACAAAGAAAGAGGAAGAGAGAGAGAGAGGGAGCGAGAGGGGGGATCTAATGCAACAAATGGGCGAGGGGAAAAAAGCTGGCATGGAGAGGGGGGGCGAGGGAGGGAAAAGGAAAGGGAGAAGGAAGGAGACACGGGAGGCAAAGAGGGAGAGAGAGAGAGAGAATAAAGCAGCACGCGGGGGGAGGGGGGGGGAAAGGGCCCTCTGGGTTTATGGAAAGGTTCATGACAGCCAGGGCGCAACAATTACGTCGACTCGCGGCGCCTGACTCCCAGGAATGGCGTTCCGGCGCGATGGCAGGTCGTCAAGACGCGATAGTCAAGTTAACTCGCGGCGTT